AAATGACTTTAATATTCACATCAACCACCTCAGGCATATTATCTCTCAAGCACAAGTCGCCATAGAAGTCTACAAAGTTGAAGTACTTCAAAGCTGGGGCATTGACCACAAACGTAAAGTCACCGTACAGTTCTCCAGATGTATCAAGAATAGATAATCTCTGTAAAGTAGGTATTTCTACATAGAAAGACCGCACATGGAAACTGTTATAAGATTTGTCCAACACCAACTCTTCAAGAACAGGACAACCCGACAAAAGCCTGCGGTGAGACTTTTTGGTTTTGTACTCTACACACACAAGGTGTAATGATTTCAAGGATGGAAAACAAACATCGATAGGAACATTCAGAACTACCGTGGAAGCGAGTTTCAAGACCTCGAGTTTTTCATATGTATAAAGACTCTTTGGTAGTTTGATTGACCTATGTTCCCTGAAATATCCTTCACAATGTGATATTTCAAGTTCACGCATATTGCGAACCATTCCGATTCTGATCCATGTTGCTATATCTTCAGAGCTACAACAAGGACCAACGTTGAACTTCACTGTTTCTAGAACCTGAGCTCTATTCAACACCATTGATTTGTCTACATACTTGAGAAATCTCCCGTAATAGGAAGGCTCAAGTTCAAACTCATCATCAAAACGAAGCTTTGGAACCATCATCCAAAGAAACTTCCAACGTTTTGACAAAAGCATTGTGACGACAACATCTTTGGTAGGAAGTGATGAAACAATCTTCAAAAGCAAATCATCAGACAGATTACTAATCCTATCCATATATGGAAACAACTTCTATAGACTGAAAAACCTTTCAGATTCAAACAAAGATGTATATGTGATGATTACTACAAAACCAACAATAATACAAATACCCATCGAAGCAAACACAACCCTATAACAAACTCAAAGAGTAACGATGAAGAGAAGAAAAACCAAAAGCTAACGCATGAAGCAGAATAAAAAAGACAGATAGATTAAAGTGAGATTCTGCTTCGATTTCATACCAAACGGTGATGATGAGGGTAGATTTGGAAGTTTGACTTTGAAGAGAAGGTGGTGAAAGTGTATTTGCTCCGTACGTCATTAAATTAAAACAAACCAAAAAAAGGGGAATTGGGCTCAACGGCAATGGCCCAAATTTAGTATATATATAAGGCTCAAACGAATTTTATAAAATGGATACGTAATTAAAAGATTGAAGTTATTGAGAATTAATGTGTAGTCTTTCTTTGAATCGAAAAATCCTTGTATAAATTTATTATATCTTGAAAAATATTAATGAGAGATTTGAAAGAGTCTTTCACCAATGGAATGCTCTAAATGTATATATTTACAGATTTCTATGTATGTACTTTTATCTGGTTATAAAATTAAATCACTAGATATGGGGAATTTATTTGAAAATTTTCAATAGATCTCTCACCAACGAAAATGGTCTTATCGGATAGTTTACTACAACGATATTACATAAAATATAGTTGAAGTTTCCATGAAAAGATCATTAAAGAAGGATGAGAATGCATTTATTAAAACAACAAAAACAACAAGAAAATAGAACAAACAGTCTTTTCTTAAATCTGTCAACTTTCTATGGGTAAGCACAAAAAGTGATCATATGCATCTCACCACTTTGAAGAAATGAACTTCTTGAAGAAAGGAAGTATCTTCTTCATCACGTTCTGCTTGATCTTCTTAGGTTTCTTCAGCTTGATATAGCGCTTTGGAAGCAGCCAAGTGGTCTCCAATTCCTCTAGCTCATCATCATAAGCTTCATCTTCGGTGATCGTTATCTCATTATTACTTCTCTCTGAGCAGAATCTTTTTAGCAAGCTTTCCAGTGAGATTGTAATATCTTTGAATTCGAGACGAGTCTTTGAGTCCGCTGCCCAACAACATTCTAATATGGGGACGACCTCATCAGGAATATTCGATAGGCTTGGTCTCTTGCCCTGAAAGAAAAAAAAAGATTCATCATGTTAAAATCTTCTCCATTAAGTAAAAATTGTTGATATGTATATAACTTTTACCTGGTTCACAAAATAGGGAATAGAAATGCTAGGTATCTCACTGAAAGGTGTTTTGTTTGTGAGCAAGGACCAGAAAATCAATGCGAAGCTATACACATCGATTTTCTGGTCGTAGTGTTTTTTCTCCCCAATTCGGAGTGGCTCACGGCTGCATACCTGTGGATACAAAACATACAATCATTAATCATGATATGTTCTAGTCAAATATTTAGTCTAGAAAGAATCATTACCTCTGGAGCCATCCAACGGTACGTGCCCGCCTCACAAGTCATGCCACCAAGAGTCTTTTCTCTTGCAAGTCCAAAATCAGCCAACTTCACATGTTTCATATCACCAGTTACCAAAACATTCCCTACTCAAACACGGATAACAAACAATTAATTTGTTTCACTATCTACAAGACATGATGCTACAAGACATGATGATGTGTAAAATGGAGTATATTTACTTGGATTTAGGTCACGGTGAATGATGCCTTTTGAGTGCAAATACTCCATGGCTCGAGAAATGTCCAAAGCAAAGCTTAGTGACACCTTGAGATCAAGAGGACTCGGACGAGAGTTCAACATGAACCTCTGAAGAGTACCACCTCTTACGAGTTCGGTAACTATCATCAATTGTGGCTCTATGCAAGCTCCAACAAACTGTACAATTAATGTTGAAAACACCAAAATATTTATTACTCATTATCGTAACATTAATATTATAAAACACCAAATTATTTATTTTTGTTTGAAACATCAAATGATTTATTATTTTCATTTTTACCCTGACAATGTTTTCATGTTTCATCGAGGATAGTACCAGAACCTCCTTTTGAAACTGTTGTTTGTCCTGAATGCTTACAGCAGATGTTTTACCCGGCTGCACTATCTTCACCGCCACAGGAACAATGTTTTTGAGTCTATAAATCATTAGAGAAAATATATGAAACTTTTGATTAGCACAAAAGCCAAAAACACTTCATCTTATGAGATTAATTCCGATTTTTCTATTAATGGTTTCTATGCAACATCAGATTAATTAATTCACTCAAAAATAAACTATGGAGTAGATGTAGATCTAATGATTGCCTTTTTACATAGATTTCTATTAAGTTAGGTTGCCTCACCAAAACTTCACATATAGTTATTGCCTGAATAAAGTTTTACAGTTGTTTCGGATATTAAGAATTAAAAAAAAAAAACTGAAATGAAACTAGAAATCAGCAAATTTTATTTGGACAAAACCTAATGATTTTTTTTTCAAAAGATTTATAAGAAACATAAATACATAAAATCTTAAAAAGAGAGAGAGAGTGATGAAACACACCGGCCTTTGTAAACGATGGAGTTGCCTCCTTCTCCAATCATCTCTCCCCTCATGATGTCTTTAGGGTTGAGAAGCAACTCTCTGCTGATATTGAAATCGAACTGGTTATCAGACTCATCATTATTGTCATCTGAGCCAAACGCTGACATGAAAAAAGGGTAGTTCGCATTAAGCATCATCGTCGGAGAAATGGCCATGGTTGGAGCTCGCTTGTACTTTTGATGAGTAGAAATCATAGTGCTGAGTGAGGAAGATGAGTGAGGAAGACTGTGAAAGTGTTTGGGTTATATAGAAATAGCAGTGCTGAGTTTGGGGCTACTTAAGTAATTTCAAGAATTGTATTTTAGAGGGCATAAACAAAGAAAGATATTGTTATGTATTAATTGACAATTATAACTTGAATGGGAAAATATAGGAAAAATCTAAAAGTAAATCTTATCTCTTAAATGTAATTTATTTATTTATTCACCACCACATGTAATGGGTTTCTCAGAATCTTATCTTTTAAGTAATTTTTTGCATATATGTTTAACAGCTCATTTTTCCTTTTTGTATTTAACCATACTATATAAATATGGACTCTATACGGAAACTAAACTTATCTAAAATTTGAAAAATATATATTCTATTTTGCTTCTAACACTATTTAGGAGTTTTTTTCACAAATAATACTTAAGAGTTAGGACTTCAGTTTCTATCCAATTTGTTAAATAAAAATGGGTAAGACAAAGATAAAATGATATATATATTTAGTGCAATGTAAAATTATAGTCAACCAAAAAACTGTTTTATCATAAATGTTTCTGGAAGATATACCAACAGAATTCTATGGCCTAGTTGGCAGTTGCCATGAGTTTGAAACCAATAGTAGAGACCACTTTCATAGGTACTTTGCGTTTGAATGATTTTGAGCTTGTTTCATACACTTTTGTCAATAATGTGGGTGAGCTTTTGAGCTGAGATGGGAGGTCTCTGCATATTCATCCATTTCTTTCCCTCCATATACTACGCAAAGTGAGATCAAACGTATACCTAAGAAGGGACTTGGGGAGAATTGGGTGGGTGGAACCTTGTAGTTGGATGATGATGGGCGTCCCAACTTATTGTGAATCGGCTTTGAAGAATATCTCGGGGAAAATATGATTAGATTTGAGCTGAGTAGCTACAGATCAATACCTCGGAAAAAATTGTATATATATATTAAGAAAAAATATATTTTCATCGCCAATAATTTTAGTGAGAAAATATAAAATAGCGAATTTAAATTGAAAAAGATCGCTACCAAATAAAAACAAATAATATTTAACGATCGATGACATAAATAGAAAAAATACTAAACGATCTACTTACTAATGGTTTTATTCAATATTCAGTTAACATACCTTTTATAATATAATTTTTGAAATATAACGGTCTCAATATCATAAATTAAGTTATTATACATTAAACGATATATATAATCATATCGTACTATTTTCTATTTTATTAAAATGTCAATATTACGACTACCACAATAAAAATCAACCTTTTTAGTTCTTAACTAAACTTTAATTACGTTAATAATAGAAAAAAAAAACTTGTTCTTTATAAAAGTCTCAATCAAAACTGCATTCAATCTTTTATTCAACATCATTTTTTCTTTCCTAAAACTTTTAAGTAGAATGCAATACATGAACTTTCTGAAGATCACCCATTTAAGTATTATTCTCGTCCAAATATGTTTAAATCCAAAGTTTTGATGTAATATGTGCATTAGTGCTGGTATGATGATCGCATTCAAATTTAACATCGGCAAAAACCAAAAAGTAGAACTAAAATTTGGTTTCAACAAATATCACTATAATTATCATAAATGTAGGGTTTTCGAATAGACATATCTGTATATACCTACACAATGTGCACCCTCCTTTAAACGTTAGACATTTCAACTAGAAAATGTTAGAGAATGTTAAAGGAGGGTGCACATTCAGAAAACGTTACATTTCAACTATGATTATCATTTCTAATAGAAAATGTTACATTTACCAAAACCAACTTGAGATTTAGTCAGTACATACTCTATATAGTTACAACAAGGATATATTTTCTGTATAAACAAAAATAGTTGAAATGTCCATGAAAAGAAGAACGAGAATTCATTGCTTTAGGAAAAATTTCCTCACAAAAAAAAAACAGAAAAAATAACAAGAAAACACAAAGAAGAAAGAAAGAACAAACACTAACAGAATCTTCAGTCTTGTCTTTCCTTAAATCCACCAACTTTCCATTTATTATTTTTATGGAAAGACACAAAAAATAATCATGGCTTGTAGTTGTACAACCAAACCTTGAACTTCTTAAAGAAAGGAAATCTCATCTTCACCAGTTTCTTCTTCTTCTTCTTCTCCTTAGGTTTCTTCACCTTGCATAAATGCTCTTGAAGCAGAGGAGAGTTCTCTGATTCCTCCATCTCACCTTCATAAGCTTCCCCATCCGGTAGTGTTGTGCCAATGCTACTGTCTGAGCTCATTCTTCTTAGCAAGTTTGTCAGCATAACCGAAATCTCTTTAAACTCCGGACGCGCATCCGGGTCTTGTGCCCAACATGATTCAACGATTGGGACAAACACGTCGGGAGTCTTCGTAAGTATTGGTCTCCGACCCTGTAATAAAAAGATATCCAACATTTTAAAACCTTATTCCTTTTAAGTTAAAAAGGATGATGTGTTTTTATCAAAAAAAAGTTGATGTTTGACTTTACTTGGCTAACAAGATAGGGAACAAAGAGGCTATTAGGCACGTCAGGGAATGGTTCTTCGTTCGTAACCAGCTGCCATAATACTATGGCAAAGCTGTAAATATCAGCCTTATGGTCATATTCCTTCTTCTCCCCAACTCTCAGCGGCTCAGGGCTATACACCTGTGGTTACGAAACAGAAAATATTTAGTTTATATGTTTCGAAATAGAAAACTAAGCTCAAAATGATCACTACCTCAGGAGCCATCCATTTAGAGGTGCCAGCCTCACAGGTCATGCCACCTCTAGTTTCTTCTCTTGCAATTCCAAAGTCAGCCAATTTCACATGCTTCAGATCACCGGTTACCAACAAATTCCCTACACAAAACACACCAAATTATCAAATTTTGTTTCTCTGTTTACAAGAAATACTGAGTAAAAATTGGCGCATGTTTATTGTTTACTTGGATTTAAATCACGGTGAATGATGCCATTTGAGTGCACAAACTCCATGGCTCGTGAAATATCCAAAGCAAAGCTTGGTGACATCTTTAGGTCATGAGGACCCGGACGAGAGTGCATGAACCTCTGTAGAGTGCCGCCTTCAACGAGTTCGGTAACTATCATCAATTGTGGTTCTATGCAAGCTCCAACAAACTATATATACATCATCAATAATCATGTTTATTTATTTTACTTTACTTTTCAAAAAAAAAAAACATGTTTAATATGTCATTATTATAACATTAATATTGAAACCACCAATATAAATATATATTTCTCAATTTTCACCTTCACAATGTTGTCATGTTTCATCTTGGATAGTAACAGAACTTCCTTTTGAAACGTTTTTTTGTGCGCTTTGGTTACAGCGGAAGGTGTACTCGGATCCATGATCTTCACCGCCACGGGAAATTGGTTTCTTAGCCTATAAATCATGATAGAGAACATATCAAAACTTAGTGATGATTAAACTGATTAAACGCATTTGAATTCATCAATATAATATAGCGAGAGATGAAACACACAATCCTTTGTAGACGATGGAGTAAGCTCCTTCTCCAATCATCTCTCCCACTACGACATCGTTTCGGTCGAGAAGCAATTCTCTGCTGATACTGAAATGGAATGGCTCGTCGTCGGACTCATTGTGAGAAGGATAGTTTCTGAAAATCATTCGAGATATTATTTTGAAGAATGGAAGTGAGTGAGGACTAAGGATGATGAGTGAAAGAGGAAGAGTTGTACCTATTTATAGTACTACAAATGTGGGTGGTAATTCTGTAATTCTGTATGTAGTCTAAAACTGGATGGTTATGTGGGAGAGGAAAAACTGAATTTTGTTTCATGTATATTAATTGACAATTAATGGTATAAGAAGGGAAAGTATTGTTTACCCAATTAGCATGAATTGCATGACATGGTTTTGTTACTAACCTTATCTCTTTAAGTAACTTTTTTTTTTTAATTTATTCACCACCATATGTCATGATTTTCTTGTAATCTTATCTTTAAGTAAATTTTTTTCATAAATATGTTTAACACCTTTCTTTTTAATTTTTCATATAACCGTTACTCTATACTGACTATACATATACATTGTGGACCCGATATGTAAATATGCAACTCTTTTAGAAGAAAAAAAACTTTATGCATGACGTGCACAAATGTATACCACGAGAAAAAATGGTAAAATTGGAAAAACTACATTATTTTTCAATTTCTATTTTTTTATTTTATAAAAAATATATATATATATATATATATTAATGTATTTATTTGTATCGCCAATAATTTTAATGATAAAATAGAAGGTGGCACAGTTAGAATGAAGGCGATAAATATTTTTTTTTTAAAAGTGTTCTATGATCATAAGTATTAAAAATAATAGATTCACTAATAATTTTTGTTTTCTTTAGTTAGCTAAGAAATTATGTGCCGATACATCTTGTAAGTCTAGCCCCTAGCTAATACTTTATAATGTATGTAGTGAATTTTCTTCTATTTTTATTATTAAAGATTGGATAAAATAATCATTCAAGCATCATAGTCCATAGTAATCTTGCTTTGTTTCGCAACCAAGTAAGACATCTCAATTGCGATATCATGGCGAAATGTTTTCAAACTTTCACGTCTATGTTGTATCACATATCCAATTTATGCCATAGACTTGGTGGAGTGCATATCTAAATCCCACAATGTACGTCTAGGATATAGAAGAGCTCATGCAGTCATGCTAATACAAGTTGGATATGTGTATTGTGTATATATGAAAGAATTGTGATTTTAGGGAATAGACACAACCCTGCGTATTGAAGAAGAGAGGACTTCAAAATTATAAAGATGAGTACTAAAATTTTCTACCTTAAGAAATAAGAACTCAAACGAAAAATACATTTAGACTTCTTTCCTCCTAATTTTAAATACTATTCGATCGTTGTAACGGAAACAAGACTTAATAGTTAATAACTTAATATGGGTTAGTTTGGGTCAAGATTTAGAAACCCATCAGTATTGTATATTACTTTCACCCACAAAAACTAGTTTTTCAAAGCATTAGTTGTTCAGTAAAAAGGAGACTAGTGTTTTACAATATGCAAAAGCTGTGAAAATATGTTTTACAATTTAAGGCTGGTCCTGTTCCTTATTTCCTTTGTTACGTTTTAAATTCTTATAATTTTTACGAAGATTGTAACGAGTTTTTTTTTTTTTTTTTGTAATGTTTCAACAGAAAAACGACGGTTTACAACAGTTAGAGTTTGACCCCCCCCTCCCCCCCCCAAAAAAAGACGGTTTACACATATATAGAAATACTCTGAAAAAATGAGAAGAACTGGAATAACAAATAGTGGAAAAAGAATTGAAAAAAAAAATGATTAAATTAAAAAGTTATAGTCGAAGATCACTTTAGCTGCGTGTTCCAAACCAAGTCAATAAGAGAGAATCATATATACAATTTGAATTTCCTAAGGAGATTAGTAATGATTAGCTAATTAAAAAAAATCTTCATATATAACTAATGCAATTTTTTTGGTGAGAATATAACTAATGCGATTATCATCATCATAATGATTTTGTATATCATCAGATTCCTATACTCATGAATCATGATTTTAATTCACCGTTTCATATTGACGTCAAGTATTAAATATTAATCATATACAACCATATTTGTTACCGTTAAATAACCGAAGACTTAGCAATTAAAAAAGGAGCTACTTATTATACAAATTAAACACTAATTATTTATTTTACATTGTAAAATACATTACTGATAGGGACTAGCATTGACCAAAACAAAACCACGTGATACCATGTGGCAACCAAGACTCGGAAACTATATAATACAAGATACCCAAAAGGGTAAAACGACACGCAGTTTATAAGTAACATACTATAAACGGTAAGCGTTCCTAGGCACCACGTGCCATGCACCTGACACGCTCCAAAAGATGCTCGCTCTCGTCGGCGATTCTTGACAACGATTCATGCGCCACTCCACCGTCGCAACTCAGCGATTCGGCAGCGGTCTCTTTCAGCTTCTTTATCTTCTTTCTCATCTCAGCACCTTCCTCCTCCACCATGATCTTTCTCACCAACGCCTCGATCTCCGCCCTCGTAATCACTCCCTCCGACGGTAGTTTCTTAGAGCGGACGGCAACGCCAAGCTCTTCGTTGAGGAGTGTCGCGTTCATCATCTGCTCCGCAAAAAGTGGCCACGCGATCATCGGAACGCCACCAACGACGCTCTCGAGAATCGAATTCCAACCGCAGTGAGTTAGAAACCCACCTACGGCTTGGTGGGCCAAGATCTCCGCTTGGGGAGCCCAAGAAGAGACCATAAAGCCTCTCTCATGAGTCCGGCTAACAAAACCTCCCGGGAGATAATCAGGTGTACCGTCTCGTATTTTACCACTGTTAGCGGATAAATATGCACTGCAAGCTGAACCGTCCACCGGGGGTCGAACCACCCAAACGAACCGTTGCTGACTCATCTCAAGTCCCCAAGCCAATTCGGTTAGTTGTTTAGCCGAGAGAGAGCCACCGCTTCCAAATGAAATGT